CAAGCTGGCCGGCGTGCTAAAACCTTTCCCGCACTCGGGGCAGACGTGGGGCCGGCCCGGCTGGGCGGTGTGGGTGCGGCGATGAGCCAACAAGGTGGAGCTCGCCGGTGTGCTGCCGGAGGTGGTACTGGTAGTGGGATGCCCACTTGAAGGTGAGGCCGCACTGGGCGCACTCGAAAGCCCGCAGCCCCGTGTGAACCCGCTGGTGGATCTGGAGGAGGGAGGAACGCTTGAAGGCCTTGCCGCACTCGCGGCAAGCGTAGGGTCGCTCACCCGTATGGTCCCTCATGTGGTAACGCAGCCCTGAGGAACCCTTGAAGGCTTTGCCACACTCAGTGCACTGGTAAGGGCGCTCTGGGGCAGGCTGGGGTGCCGCCGGGGGGTGAGGAGCCTCGGGGGGAGGATGCGGTGGGGCAGTGGCCGGGTGGCTGCGTTGGTGGCCCAACAGCCCAGCCAACTGGGTGAAGGTCTTGGGGCATACGGCACACTTGAAGGGCCGCTCGGCAGCATGGCCGTGCCGGTGCCGGGCCAGCCCCGAGCTGTTCTTGAAGGTCTTGCCGCAGGTGGGGCAACGGTGGGGAGCGGCCGGTGGGGTGACCGCTGTCACTGAGTGGCTCTCTTGGTGGCCCAGCAGCTCCTCCTCGCTGGTGAGGCTCAAGGGGCAAGTGGAGCACCTCCAGAGCGTCTCTGGTGCCGCAGCAGGTGCCGGGAGGAGCGGGGGCATGGCAGTGTGGCCGGCGTGGCTCTGCAGGTGTTTCTGCAGGCAGGCATCGGAGACGAAGGCCTTGGCGCCGGTCGGGCACTCGTGGGGCCGGGTGCTGGCGTGGGTGCGGCGGTGGAGGAGGGGGTTGGAGGAGTGGGTGAAAGTCTTGCCGCACTGGGGGCAGGCATAGGGCCGCTCACCTGTGTGGACCCGCTGGTGGATGGTGAGGTCCGAGCGTTGGATGAAGCATTTACCGCAGTCGGGGCATTCGTGGGGGCGGTCACCGGTGTGGATCTTCTGGTGCTTCACCAAGGCAGACTTGTGGCTGAAGCTCTTCCCGCACTCACCGCACGTGTTGCTGGGTTGGCTCTCACTGGGGCGTGTGGCCGTCTCCCCAAGTCCCACGCTTCTGCCCGCCTTCGCTCCGGCCTCCGTGGGGCTCGAAGGATGCTCCTCACCCGCAGGTTTCACCACTTCGGGCTCTTTCTCAGCAGCTTCTTCTCGAGGGGGGTCCTGCTCCGCTTCCGCTCCATCCTCTGTGGGGCACAAAGACAGACAGACACAACCCAGGCAGGAGACGTCATTTCTCCTGGGGCTGGAAAGATGGGAAGGTGGTGGGAAAAGGAGAGCAAGGAGAGATTCCTCCTCCTTTTTTATTTCACCAGGTGAGCACCTCTAACAGAGGCATCTCCGATCCCCATCGCTCCCCTCTGCTGCCAACACGGACATGATAATAATCCCCCACCACCTCCACTGCTTCTCAGTGGACCACTCCAGAAATGTGTCTGTCTAGGAAAGGGGGTCCGGCATTTCCATTTTGGCCAGAACACGCCTCTCTCTTCCCCAGCATCTTTTCTTCATGCCATGGCCAAACCGAGGTTGCAGCCCTGGGGTATGTTACAGTGGGGGTTCCCTATTTTGGGGAGAGGTCAGTGGGGGAAAAATCCTCCACGCCTGCAGGATTCAAACCCAGGTTTTCTCCCCGCTGCGATCGGAGGCTCACCTGCAGCCGGGGTGTCCCTGGGCACGTGGAGATCCAGGGCTGTAGGTTCATCCCCATGGTCCAGGCGGGACAGCAGATCGGGCTTAGAAACGGGGAATTCTGGAAAAGAGAAGGGGGGATGAGCAACATGGCTCAGGAGGGTTTGCCCTCCCCAGCAGCCCCTCCAAACCCACCACCCCTTGTATGAAGATGTGAGGATCCAGCAACCCGGATCCTCCGTCCACCCCAAATTTTCTGCTGCAGGAGGGGTAGGCTCCTCACCCAGCGCCATCAGCGTCTCGTAGCTCTCCTGCATCACGTCGCGATACAGTGCTCTCTGTCGTGGGTCCAGCAGCACGTACGGTTCCATGGCCAGTGCCACCAGAGCCCCTGAAAGAAGGAGGTAAACCACTGTAAGCAGGGCCCAGAGTACAACCCATCATCCTACAGATCTGCAGCCATCCGTGGGACTCTTCATGAAAAATTCCCGATTTTATTAACCTGTGGATTCCCTAATAATTGAATAGATTATTATTCTCTAATAAGATAATAGCAAGGCTGAGCTGAGGCGCAAAATGGGGGTAAAGTGTGGGGCAGGTAATAAAAATCTCCATCCTTTACCACACCAGGTATTTTCTCAAATCTGGCTAAACAATAGGTTTTTTTTCCAAAAGTTAATAGGGAGGAAGAAGCAGAAGGGGAAAACAGAAATACAAAGCATGTGATTCCTTAAAAATAATAATAAAAAAAGAAAACAGAAAAAGAGCTAAACCCCAGCCCATTAAGAACATGTTTCTGTAACCTGCCGACCACCCTCTGCTGAGACATCTTTACCCTAAAATTAATTTTCTCCCAGATTTTATCTACCTGCTAATTTCTACTGCACCAAATCCTGGGTGCTCCTCCTCTTCCCAGAGACTCCTGTCCCAAATCTTCCAGACACCCCCCCTCCCCAAGAAAAATATAACCCATAGCAATCGCTCCTCTTTTTCAAAGGAATAAATCACCCAGTTATTTCTCTATGCAAACCGCCAGGGCTTGGAGCCTGTGCTCGAGGGAAAATACGAGTTTTCCCAGCTGTAGGAAGAGGGTTTGTTGCTCTCCTTTGCAAAAAAATCATTTAAAAATCAAATTATCACCACTCCCCTCACCCTTTCCTCATCCTCCTCTGTGAGCAGCCGGCGTATTAGAATCCCAATGCGTGGGTTGATTTATTTTGGGGTGTTTTGTTTGTTTTTTTTCCTAGCAGCAGAGCTGTTACAGCTGCAGAGGATGGAGGAGGTAGGTTGGGAAAAGGTGGATTTGCAGAAGGTTGTCGCTGACTTACTGATGCTGGGAATAAAAGGGACGATTTCAAGCACGGACTGCAGACCCCTCCTGAAATTTTTGCCTTTTTGGTTTATTTTATGAAGCCCCACCAGCATTTCACCCCGCTTCATTTATTCCTCGGTGGTTTGCCATCCTGCTAAAAAAAAAAATAAAATAAAATAAATTTTTAAAAAAGAGGTCAATACCACATGCCATCGCAGACACCTCCGCTCCCGACCCCCCCCCCAGC